CTTGGTGCGTGATTATTGCAAGAAGCCTAAGCATACCAGGGACACTTGTTGGAAGCTTCATCCAAATCTTGTGCCTGCTCGAATAAGAAACAAGAAGGAAAATGCAAATGTAGCCACTACAGGAGACTCTTCAGCCCCTCTCTCCCAAACTGATTAGGAATCCATTCCAGTAGCAGCAGTGAGAACAGAATTGGAGAGGTTTGGAGAACTTATGAGTAAGAAAGTGTAGAGAAGATGGGCCGAATGGCCCATAGGTTGCTTATTCCTTCTTGTTATTTATGTTTCTTTTCTGTAATGGGCCTTATTCTGGGTCCATCCTGTCAATATTAAGTTCTGTGTAAATTCTTGCCCAACTAAGGGCCTCCTTGTAATTATTCAAATATTTCTAATAAAACAGTGTTAGGGGGCTGAGAGAGAGTGAGTTTGAAATCCTCTTCTCAGACCCTCATTGCCGAACCCTCAACTCTCCTCTTCAGTTTTCTTCAGAAAGATTCACCCAGCTCTAGCCTTCCAGATGGACAGCAGAATGCAGGAGCCAACTACACCACTTCCTTTGCACATACAGGTAGTTCATATGGAACTGCAAATCTTGCATCCACTTCAGGTAAGGAGGGACCTCCCTGGATTATAGACTCAGGAGCATCTGAGCATATGACTAATGCCCCTATCATTTTCAGTTCCTATCAATTGTGCTCTGGTAGAGATAGAGTCTCTACAGCAGATGGTTCACATATGCCCATTGCTGGGAAGGGGACAGTTAGAGTGACCAATGATATAACTCTGTCTTCTGTTTTACATGTCCCTAGACTTCATACCAACCTACTGTCTGTTAGTTCTTTGACAAAAGATTTGAATTGTTCTGTGACCTTTCTTCCTGTTAATTGTGTTTTGCAGGATTTGGAGTCAAAGAAGATGATTGGGAGTGGTCATGAGGTGAATGGAGTCTACCTTCTGGATGATATTCTGAGACATCAGGGCCATCATGTTAGCAACAGTAGTAGTAGTGGGTCCGAGTCAATGAACCAGATTATGCTTTGCCACAATCGCTTGGGACATCTTTCTTTTAGTTCTTTGAAATGTCTTTTCCCAAAGTTGTTTGAGTCTGTTCAATTATCTACTTTGGAATGTGAAAGTTGTCAGTTAGGAAAGCATTGTAGACAGTCTTTTAAACCAAGTAATAAAAGAAGTACTTTTGCTTTTAATATTGTAGATGTTCAAGACTACTATCAGTCTTGAGCACTAATAAATTTCAGGTTCGAAAAGGAGAGAAAGTATAGAGGAAAGAGGAGAAAGAGTAGTGAGAGAGTAGTAGAACACAAACTTTGAAAGGAAGGGCAGAATCTCAATATTCTGCCGCCGCCACTTCTATTTAATATTTATAGGTTATGCTAGTTACATGAAAGGACACATCTGCCCTTCATATTTACATAACACATAAAACAATATAAAATTGAAAAATAAATAACAACTAGAATAGCAGATTGACCATCAGCTATCCGTAGGATGACTAGGTACATTCTACCCTACGGACAGAGTGGGACCACAGCTATGGGGCCCACATCAGTGTTCTCTACACTCCCCCTCAAGTTGGGAGTAAATGTTTATCATTCCCAACTTGGATAGATCTGCCTCTAGCTTCTTTCTTGATACGGCTTTAGTGAGGACATCTGCTAGTTGCATACTAGATGTGATGTAAGGGAGGCTTACTTCTTGAGATGAGACCCTCTCTCGTACAAAATGTCAGTCAAATTCAATGCAACATCATGGGCTTTTCATACTCAATACCCAACTCCTCAAGTAGAGATCTTAGCCATAGGATTTCAGCCACTCCGTTAGCCATGGACCTGTATTCTGCTTCAGCACTAGATCGGGAGACAACACTTTGTTTCTTACTTCTCCAAGAGACAAGGTTACCTCCCACAAGGGCACAATATCCTGAGGTAGACTTTCTGTCATCAACACTCCCAGCCCAATCGGCATCCGTATAGAYCTCCACCTTCATGTGGTTATTGTTCTTGAACAGTATACCCCTACCTGGGCATCTCTTCAAGTAGGCTAAAATTCTTTCTGCTGCAAGAAGATGTGTGGTTCTAGGAGAATGCATGKACTGGCTGACAACACTAACAGCATAAGTAATATCTGGCCGAGTGAGGCAGAGATATAGGAGCTTTCCTACCAATTGCTGGAACATAACCTTGTCTTCAAGAGGCTCCCCACTCTCTGCACTAATCCTGTGGTTCTATTCAATGGGTGTATCCGCAGGCTTGACACCTAACTTTTCAGTTTCCGCCAACAGGTCTAGGACATATTTCCTCTGAGAGATAAAGATCCTTTGTTTGGATCTAGCAACCTCAATACCCAAAAAATACCGGAGTACACCAAGGTCTTTCACCTCAAATTCTTGATGAAGGAGCTGTTTAAGGGACTCAACCTCATGGCTATCATAAAGATCCTTTGTTTGGATC